AAACGGATACAGTGATTTCTAAAAGATGCTGACAAGAGGCAAGATGAGCATGCCAGTGTTCGGAATTGGGTTTCAGGGATAAGAGATGCTACTTATGACATTGAGGATGTTATTGACAGTTTTGTGCTTAAATTTGCACCTCGAAATGGAAGAAGAATCCATAATCCTATCACCAAAGGCATAGCACTTCACAACCTTGCCTCAAAAATTGACAAGATTAAATCTCAAATAATTGATCTCACCAGAAGCTTACAAACTTATGGAATAACTGCAAGAAAAGAAGAAGGAACTAGCTTAGCATTTGAGAGGCAGAGGTAGCTCAGGTGGTCTTATTCCCATGTCGTTGAAGAGTTTATTGTTGGGTTTGATGAAGATATGAGGCAACTTATAACACAGCTGGTGAATGAAGAGAAATGCAGAGTTGTGTCTATCTGTGGTATAGGTGGTCTGGGAAAGACTACCATGGCAAAGGCTGTTTATCATCATGGTGATATAAGGAGACATTTTGAAGGGTTTGCTTGGGCATATGTGTCTCAGCAGTGCAAAAGAAGAGATGTTTGGGAGGGGATTTTGCTGAAACTTATCACTCCATCCAGGGAGGAGAGGGAGGAAATTTTAAGAATGAGAGATGATGATTTGGCAAAGAAGCTTTATAAAGTTCAGAAAGAAAAGAAGTGTTTGATTGTTATTGATGATATTTGGAGCACTGAGGCATGGTCTACTCTTAGCGCTGCTTTTCCGAATGAAACTGCTTCTGGTAGCAAAATACTGCTTACAACACGCAACAAAGAAGTAGCTTTGATTTCTGACCGAGAGGGATTGGTTCATGAACCAAACTGTTTGAATGAAGAAAAGAGTTGGGAGTTATTCCAAAGGAAGGCATTTCCAAGGAGAGGCGATTCGGGTAGACAATCATATAACATGCTCTTCAATCTCCAGATCTAATTTTGTTACTTTTTCTGACTACGTAAACCGGGTAAGTAAACTAATTTACTCTAATCTTACACTTAGGACATTGGTTGAAATTGGATGTGCTATTAATTCAATATTAGGAATGTTAAGTACATGTCTGTGACAATTAAAATTAAGTTTCTGTGTTGTTGGCATGTTTTATGTAGATACATGTTTTAACTTTTATGAATCTGGTGATGTCAATCTTGTAGCTGCAAAAGTGCTTGGGTACTTCGGGATCCTGCTTGCTCACTCTGGTAGACCTGCAAAGCCCCGAGGTGGGTCCTCGGGGTAGACACTCCGATGCCTAAGTCAGCAATAATCAAAGCTACCAGAATGCGAATCAAAAGCTAAGCTTGAGTTCGGTTTTTCCATTACCTTTGGAGAGGACCCTCGGGGGGTATTTATAGCCTTCGAAGGGGGCATCCACGTGTGGTTCTTCACGAGAAATCAGGGCTATATGTGTCGATGATCCCATAAGGTTTCCTTACAGTATTTCTGCACGTACGGAGTTACTGTAGAGTAGGATCACAAGGGATGAGCTCGAGGTTGGATGAGCTCATCTTTCCTCGTTGCCAAGGTGACTAGATTGGAAGTGGTCCGGGTGCCGCGGGTATTTGACCTCGGGCTGTGTGAGATCGGACTGTGACTTCGGACTACTACTACTACCACTACAAATCTCATTGTCATATTGGATGAAATAAACTTCTATTGGTTGTTTAACCTTCTTGAAGCATGCATGCTAAGGGAATTAATGATTATTGGTGGAAAATATCATGCTCTATGCTTTGTGTTTATGTGCATGAAATAAATTTTTAAAAATTTCCTTTTTCTTCTTGTAGAGCTCAAAATGAATGAAGATAAGGAGAAGCGACGAGCGAGGGAGGGAAATGGTTGGAAGCTGAGCCGGTTTACCTTTGGCGATTGTTTTGCTCGGAGGGCTTTTGGCAACAAACGAAACATTGATTGAGTGGGACATGGTGAACAGAAATACCAGATCATATTTGGCCAAAACTAAAGGCCATGAACAAGCAAGATTATGATGGGGAGAAAAGCCAATTTGCAAATTACATTTCCATTGCATTTTTTTTTCTTTATGTTTAACTTTACTGATGTGAATTCGTGCAGAATTTCTTTTAGTGTTATCCTTCGTTAGGATCTTGCTTTTTCATGTATTTTCATAAGAAATTCAAAGAGAAGGCGATGTCTATGTTGTCTGTGAAAGTGAAGATTCCAGTCTTCTAGTCTTTTAGGGCATGTTTGGAGGCCGGACCTTACTTTGGGTTTGATTAAAAATTAGTCCTAAACTTCTGTAACCCACGTTTGGTATTGTCTCAAGATATAAAAGTTATCCCACCTCCGCCGTAACATTACATTACATGGGATGGGATTTCATTTTTACAGACTTTACACAAAGTCTCACTCTCATGCTCCTCTTTCTCCCTCTCATGGCCGTTGATCTCCCATTCTCTTGCTCTCCTCCATCTCACTTGTTGTCGAAGCCGGTGCTACTCTGACGAGGAGGCTCTATCGCATTGATTGTGTGATGGTGAGTCTCAGACCTATCTTTTCTTTTTCTTTTCACAATTAATGGTAACTTAGATCCCTTTCGTTCTGTCATTCCCAGCTATTCCGGCAACGGTCTGTTAGTCTCGTCTTCCATTCTGGTGAGCTTACCCTTATTTGTGTGGATTGTGATTCATAGAATGCACTGTATTCCTATGTTAAGATAATTTATATGTTTAACTGCTTTTTGGAATTAAATTTTGCTTATATGGTTGTGGATTGTTTCCCCTATTTTTTGATGCTATTGAAATTTCTGTTTGTTTGGGTGTATCTGGACTTCTTAAAAGATTGAAAATAACTTGTGGGGTTCTTTTAATGGTTTTATTAAAATCTAGTTTAATCAAGTTTTGAGAATGTTCTGTATTTTTAGTGTGTTCTACTGGTTATTTTCTTGAGTGAATTTTAATTTTCTGAAGTTGGTATATGAATTATTATTCATTTCATTAAGTCAAAATTTTATGTTATATGAATCAAAAAAATGTCATTGATTAAATGGTGGTCTACATTCTGTGTTGCTGGAATCAATAGTGGTTTGACAGACTGGTGTTAGACTATGTGCCTTATTTTGTGTCTAATCATGAGCATTGAAACAGGTCTCTACCATAAAATCTGGGGTGGTGTTCCCACTAAAGGGCAAGTGGCTAAGTGCTTGGCCCAGGTATGTGGAACTAGTTTAATCCTTTATCTTTAGACTTGTGAATTATAATGATAAATATTATCTTGTTAAAAATAGTAGAAACTGATTTAACCCATTTTTTGTCTCTTTCCTTTCTTTGTGTGTATTATTTTCATTTTAGATGAAAAGGACAGGCCAATTACAACAATCATTGGTTGTAAACCTGTTATTTTCTCTAGTCTTGCCTTATTTGGATTGCTCTTCTAAAACTTATCCTTTGGGTTTATCATTTGTGTCAATTTAGTTAGTTGCTTTACTCTGTATCTTTGTCATTGTCTATGGGTAACTCTTCTGTAATTTATTCTCTCATATCTTGGAACTTGACTGCTCTACTCTGTATCTTTGTCATTGTCTATGGGTAACTCGTCTGTAATTTATTCTCTCAAATCTTGGAACTTGACTGTTACCTAACACATTTTTTTTGTTCCACCTCTGTTGATGATGCATTATTTACTTTTATTTGTGTGCCACTTTTGATCCATGGATGCTTCATAATGTTTCTAGATATGGCTTCAGCTGCATTCATTTACTCTCCCTGTAATAGGGTTTGTTGCTCAACTTCTGGGCAAGGATGTACCCGTTGTCTTATTCTGATCGAGTGAAGGTACTTTTTTCTTTTATTTTTCTTCATGCTTGTGGCTGGCTTATTTCTCAAGGCAAATTTAATTACATTTTACTTTCTAACCACCACCAGGTTAAAAAGGCCCTTAGAGGAGTGAAAGTTGAGGCAACCCACAGAGGGAATGTATGGAGAAAATACTGTGTTTCAGGATTGATATCTCAACCTACCAGCGAGCTAGCGTGAGTTTCAACTCTCTCTCTGAGTTTCTTGTTAATGAAGAATTATTGAAGAAATTATTAGAGGCAATTTAGTAGCTACAATGAAATTGCAACAAAAAGGCATACTTGTAATTTTCCTTTTTCTGAGGAAATGGAAGATTTTAATTTGTAGTGGTAATCTATTCAGGTTTCCCATAGATGACAACTCAACAATGAAGTCAGTTTGTCAAATACTTCCAGGAGATGTATGGCTTCACCATTCAGCACACACATTTACTTTGCTAGTAGACATGTATTTGAGGTTAATTAGCCATCAAATGTGAAATCATATATTTTTATTCATTACATGGATTGGTTGCTTAAGACCCTTTTCTTGATTTTTTTCCCCCAAATGTTTCAATGCTGCCTCACATGCTTTCACATTTTTATTTTGTTGTGCAGGGTTGGTTCTTGTTCTATACTTGTTGAGCTTAAACAAAATTGTCAAGAGCCAGGTTTAAGTCTAAAGTTTAATAGCAAATTTACAACAAACAAAAGTTTAGCAGCAAATTAATAGCAAACAAATTATTTTAATCCTTTTAGGAACCAGGACATTGTTTTAATTGTCAAGGGAAAGCTTCATTTACACGTTTCTCTTTGTGCCAAGTTTGAATCGTATGTCTTGATCTTTTGTCAAAGGTTTATCTCATATTTCAATCTAGGCATTCATGAAACTAGTGATTCAGGTTAATTTTTATATTAATTATTTTGGTGACTTTAATATGTTAATATCATTATTAACTTTTTATGTATTTTTATTCAATTTTGTTCTTTAAAATTCAAATATGATAGTTTTTCCTTTATGAATTATTTTGATAAATTTGACTTTAGATTGTTACTTTTTTTATTTATATAAATAGAGTATTTTTTTGTGGACATTTTAATAAATTAATTTGATAGAAATTAAGATATTTGTAGATTTAAGGACTTTTTTTTTTTTTTTTTTTTTCATATAGACAAATTCTAGTAGCTTTAAAAAATTTCAAATATTTTGAATTACAAACATTTTTGTCTACATATAAATCATGAAGATTATTCTATATAATCTTATTCATTACTCATTTCTTATAAAATACCGAACATAAAATTTTTATTATTTTTTTCTAATCCAATCCAATCCAATCGCATCTTATATTACAAACTTAACCTTATGGATAAAAGCAAAAGTGATCTGCTCTATCCCATCTCTCAAGTTCAATAAAATTTTCCTCCATTCAAAACCAAAAACAGCTGTCTTTAATTAATCATTTAAGTAGCTGATCTTGCCAGCTACTTAGAAGTTTGCCTTGCAGTCAAAGTCAAAGTGGTTAAAACTAAAATTGATATTGGAAGAAATATTTACATTAAGACACAAAATAAGAAAAAAAGAAAAAAAGAAAGAACAGAAAGAAAGAAAGGTAGATAACAGCAAGGCAAGAATGACTGGAATTTGATAACGCCATTTAAATTTTGGATAGGAATTGCGTCACTCTATTCATCAGTAGAAAATAGATAATAGTTTTCTCCTTCCCAAATTCATCTCCACCCACCAATTTTTAGTTCTGCATTGGACAAAAATAGCTGTTGGCTTGGTGTAACCAGAATTCCTCATAATCCACGAGAGAAACACGAAATGATACATCTTCGATGGCGTAACCAGCATGTGGATTGTCAGCCTTGATAACCAAGTCGGCTTTCTCCTGCAACTTCAATGCAAGTTCTAAGGTTACCTCAACTTCTCCCATCGAAGGCCGTTCGTTTGGAT